GAGTAGCGCAGGTGGTCAGTGGGAGACTCAAATAGGAGATGCCAACGTTGGTCGCATGTGGGTTAAGGATAGGTTCGGTTTAGATGCAGTTGGTGTCAATGGTTATGTTCTAAACTGTGCCGGTGAAGCGAGATTTACTGACGCAGTTCAGTTTGCAGGAACTGACAACGCCATAAGTCTTAATAATGGTTCATAGTTGAGTTTTAATGATAACTGTTCAATAAGAAGATATACACCAGATGAAATAGAAGGTTTTTACATGGCTCATAAACAATTTGTTGCTGTTTGTGTTGGTGATGTTTCAAATGCTCTAATCAATATTTTATGTGTGATGGATTAGTTTATGAGACTATTTTTAATAAACCTGTTGATGTGTTAGGTAATATTGAAACGAATGCTGATGTTAATTGTGGTAATGTTTATATTGATACCAACGGTAAACTAACAATTGATTCAAATTGTGAGTTATACAGATATGTTAGTGCTTTTACATCTTTTGATATGAGGAATACTGATGCTAATTCATCAATTAGGTTCATATGTGGAGACCCTGCCGTTCAATGTAACATCGTGTTGGAGCAGTTAATACTTCTACCGGATGGACTTTTAACACTGCTATTGCTGATGTTGTGGGAAATGTATTTGCTGACAATGCTTCTGTTAAAGCTGGTGGAGCATAAAGAAGTAATCGTATAGCACCTAATGGTGGAACATTAGTAACTGTTGATACTAATTTAGCAGCTCAAAATGCTTATTTAGCAACTAATACGATTCAACCATTTGATTTAACAACGGTTTCATTATCAAATAATTTTTCAATGGCTACTGGAACAGATATAGTAATTGGAACCATTAATTTTATCAAATTACTTTGATGAAACTAATTTATCTACAATAGGTGTAATATTCTGAACATCAAATACAGCGCTTAGAGTATCAGATAGTTCAACTACACCTTCGGTTGTATTTTCTATTGGTAAGACATTTGGAACAACAGCAAAGGCTGGAAGTTTTACCAATAATGCCTCATCAACATTTAATGAAAATGTAACAGTTTTAGGAACGAAGAAGTTGTTATGTAATACACTTGAACCATCAACAGGAACTAATATAGGTTTAACAGCAACGACGGTAACCATTAGCGGAACATTCGTTGATTCAAGTGACTCACGGTTGAAATATGACATAGACAATGTCAAATCTAACTGTATGAATATCATTAAGAAATGTAAGCCGAAGAAGTTTTAAAGACACGATAGAAATGATGGTGGTAAAACTCATATAGGATATATCGCTGACGAAGTATTAACAGCAATTCCTAAAGAGGTTGAAAATTTTGTATGTAAAGATAATAAAGAGTACTTAGGATTGAATTATTTAGTATTGCCTGTGTTGGTTCATAAAGCAGTATTAGGGTTGGATGATAAAATAGATAAGATTGAAAAAGAAATTAAGGAGTTGAAAAAATCCAAATAATAATATGATATGGGTAATCCAAGTAGTAAAGTTGAAACCTCAAGTATTGATATATTCAATGATATTGATGTAGAACAATTAGATTTATGTAATATTGATAAATAACAGTTGAAAGCAATTAAGCAAATGAGCGAAAGATTATATAAACTGGAGAAAGAAACATCTGACAAACCAATATATACAGTACCGGTTCAGATTTCTATCCATTCATTCATTTACTTTGAGCTAATAACATTAAGCATATGGCTTAATGCTATTGGGTAGTTATCTTCAATTTTGATTGAAAACTTATACAAAACATACTATTAACATCTTTTGAATTAAATTTACGAAAAAGAATGAATATGGAGAATGATTTATTGCTGTATGATACATTTCTAAAAGTTTGCCTTTATCAACAATCGCCGCGTTTTCTTCAATAAAACTTATTAACTCAGATATGCGTTTTTAATCTGAAACTGTATAATGAACTAGCACTGACACGAATAATATTGGCAACCGTTTTGTATTTTTGAAGGCTACATATGCAACTAATTGCATCATGTCTTCCACGGGTAAATAAGCCGTGTAATATTTTTGAATATCTTAAAAAATTAGGGTCATCACTGAAATCATCAATGCAAATTAACATTGAACACAATTTCTTCGTTTCAAAATTTTCATATAATGTGTCACTTTTCTTTGTGTATCAAAAATATTTTCTAAATCTTCTGGATGATAGTCATCAAAATCTACTTGTTCTTTTGTATCATCTACTTTCATTTCTTCTCGTTGGTATTTCTTAAATTCAACGAAAGTGGGGTCATTATGAACGGACGGGCTAAATACAAAAACACGACTAAAACAATGTTTATATACATTTAATATTAAATTTTGAATAAGGACACTCTTTCCTCCTGTTGAACTTGCAACAATAATACTTCTAAATGGAATGCTTGGAACATGTGGGTATTTTAGATTGTTTATCTTCTCTTTTCTTTGCAGGTCACTCACCCTCAGGGCCTGCTCGCTGCCAACCTTAGTGTAATTCGGGTAGCGGTTGACCACGCAACAAGATCGGCTCCAGTTGCACTGCTTCAGCGTGAGATACGCCAGCGTGTCCTCGGACATCATCTGGGTGTTCTCATCCAGGTCCACGAGCCTCTGTCTGTCTCTTGGACCTCAGAAAAGGTTGGGCCAAGTGTGAGACCGCCCAGGACGCATAAGCCGCCTTGAGCTGTTTAGCACAAAGACAAGGGCAGTGGCCCGCCAGAGCACCCGGATCGATGTTGTCCGTGGGCTGTCTCAGTGCGTGAGTGCGCGTCGATGGAACTGCACATGTCTTTTCGGAACAGCAAATTTGGTGTCGAAAAACCGCTGGCGAGCCGTGACTAAGCCGATGCCAGGCTGTTAGATAGAACCAATAATGGTCGCAGAGTCGTCGGCATTTCCCTCATGTCCATCCGGAACTTCCTGTGTAGCAGATTTTTGGCAAGCCGTCAAAAGGTAGACGTGTCCTTCGTGCCTTGCTGCACCTGCAACTATAGCAGAAAATCGCTCTGGCAAGGGCGCCGAACACGCCTGAAAAAAGATGCTGCAAAACCGTCGATATGTTCTTTGTGTTTGTTTCAACATGCAAATCGGAGACACCGCCGGCCCTGGAGAAGCGCCGCAAGCAGTTCGCGAAGAAGCTGATCGACGCTCTACATGGCGAAGCTTGGCAGGCGTGCCAAAAACTTGTTGAAGGGGCCGGACCAGTTGCGGACGCCGACGGCTACAAGCTCACCTTTGACGCGCTCATCTTTGATGCGCCCGCCGGAATCGAGAAGGAAGTGATCATCCGCGAGACTGAGGCATTCGACAAGTACTTCGAGAGAAGCTCCCGCAGGAAAAGGGCGCCGATCGACCGCTATCCGCAGCAGAAGGCCCGAGCTCAAAGCCATTGCCTTGGGCGAGGAAGGCGGAGCTCCAGGCCCTGAGGTACCACAGCTGATTGCAAGCGCCTGATCCGCTGGTCCGCTGGTCCAATGATCCGCTGATCCGAGGATGTCCGGGCAGCCGGGTGATCATGATTGGTGGGAGGCGGGGTTCCCGGAATCCTTCACTGCAAGCCCCCCCCCGGATTTTAAAAACACCCCCCCCCCCCCGAATTTAAGGAAGTGCCGGGGAGGAGGGGACCCAAGAATTTGTGCCACCTCCCCCCCCCCCTGGCCGCAATGCTTGAGTTAAGCGCAACCAAAATTCCTGAAATATACGGGGTGGGGTTGCACCACCCTTCTTGAGGGCTTCACAAAAATCTTGAAACCCCCCGCGTGCGTTTTTCTTGAAGCCCATACTGGCCTTTCATTTTGCTTTTTGCAATCCATACGCCAAGAAGGGCGGCTAACTTTGAAAAGCAATGCCACCCCCCGTGTATTTATGGGCTGTGCTTAAGTGCGGGCCGGCGCAGTTCCTTGCATTTCGGGGGGGGGGTTGTACTTTAGCGCTGCGCGGGTGTGCTTAAAGTTGTTCCATCTTTTTCTTGCGGGGGTGGAGGGGAGCGAAAAGCCTTAAAGTGGGGGGTGTATTTAAGGATTCCGGGGACCCAGGCTCAATTCTTATGTTTCTTCTTCCAGGTGGCGATGTTCTCGTCGACCTTGTCTTCCCTTCGATCGTCGGATCCCGCAAAGGGGCCAAGAAGAGACGCTCGCAGAAGCAACCAAAGAGGAAGAATACGTCAAGCCAAACAGCGTGGGAACGAGAAGCGCGAGCAGAAAGGCAGAGGAAGGAAAAAGGCCAACAACGCGAAAACAAACAGGCCATCCCTAGACCGGCGAAGAGAAAGAAGACTAAAAAGCGGTTCGCGACAAGCAGGAAAAATAGACCGGGAGGAAGGAGAAGCCAGCCCTACACAGGCAAAGAGCAAGACGAGGGCGGAGTTTGCTTAGATGAATGTGACTGTGTCAAGGAGAAGCTAGAAGCAGCACAACATACACTTGAGAAAACGCCGAAGCGTCCCGGGGTCACACAGTGGGAGCAGCTGACGGTTTCCCGAAGGTGTAGCACACTTAAATTCCTCCAAAAGGAGAAGTGTTCTTGCCGTCGAATGTAGATTTGTCGTGTCGTAAAATCCGAGTGGCAAACGCGATGGCTTCCCTCTAGGCTCGAAAACGTTTTGCTCAGATCTTGCTTCCCGCTCCCGCCCTGCAAGAAACAAATCCTGGGTAGATCAGGAACCGCACGCAAAAACAGACACGGGAGCAGGCACGCACGCGCCCACGCCCGCCCGCACGCTCGCCCGCCCACCCGCCCACATGAGCACGCGCACGCACCCCCGCCCGATCAGCCTGCACGCAAGCGTACGCACGCAAGCACCCAAGCACCCAAGCACGCACGCACCCACAGACACACACACGCACGCACGCATTCACAGCTATGTGCGCCCGCTCTCCCGCACGCACGTCAATCTCTTCAAGAGGGAACCGGGAACCCTGGCTGGAACCTTTTTACAGGAAAAAGCATGAGAGAACCATGAGACCCCCCCCCCAATATGTTTGCCACGGCGCTCCTTGGCCAAGGCCTGCACCTCCGCGGTGTTGTGGTACTCCTCCAAGAGGCCGATGGACCACATGGAAACCTCAGACTCTTCGGCTTTCTGCTGGGAACGGTGCAAAGCAAAAGCTGGATGTTCCCCAGCACAAGATGGCAGGCCCCGAACCAGCAAAGCGAAAAGGGATTTCTGTCGTTCCGTTGGACAATTCCGCCGACCCCCCTGCCTGCAAGGGGAAGGCGCTGGGGGAGTGTTCGCTTAGCGTTGGAGCGTGACTGTGGCAGCCTTCTCCCTTCCCTTTCGCCCTCGCCCGTTCAGCCCTGTACCTTACCAGCCTTCTTTCTTTCCCTTTTTTCTTGTTCTTCTTCGTTTCTTTTCTTTCCTTTTCCTTTCTGCTGCCGGCGCACTCCTTTGGTTGGTGCTCGCTGTGGACAAACGAGTGCGGCCTGGAAAAGCGCGGGAAGCGAAGCTTTTGTGGCTGGCCGCTCCCTCTGGACCGATAGCCTTACTGCATATTGGACTCAAACGCGACGTTAGGCACCCGGCCGCGGCGGAGCAGGCTGCCGGCGCACTCCTTTGGTTCGTGCTCGCTGCGGCGAAGCGAGTGCGGCCTCCAAGCGCGCTGGACGCGAAGCTGTTCTTGCTGGTTGCGCCCTGGGGACCGCTAGCTTTCTACTTTCTATATAGGATTCAAAAGTGACGTTAGGCACCCGGCCGCGGCGCAGCAGCCGGTCTTGGCAAGACGCACAGCAAACCCAAAGGGATGAAAGACCAGGGAGAGGCAAACTGTGACAGACGCAGGCGCACATGGGCATGGACAGGCCGGGGATTGAACCCGGCCCCTCTCGCATGCTGTGCGGGTGTGATGCCACTACACCAACTGCCCCTTAGCTGAGCAGGCCGAGAGTGCTCAACTACCTGCTGCGCACAGCTTTCAGCGCTGAGGCTCTGTCACGGCCAGCCCGTTCGCAGCCTGCTCCGCCGCGGCCGGGTGCCTAACGTCGCGTTTGAGTCCAATATGCAGCAAGGCTATCGGTCCAGAGGGAGCGGCCAGCCACAAAAGCTTCGCTTCCCGCACTGGTCCAGGCCGCACTCGTTTGTCCACAGCGAGCACCAACCAAAAGGAGTGCGCCGGCAGCAGGGCCTCTTTTCTTCCTTTCTGCTGCCGGCGCACTCCTTTGGCTGGTGCTCGCTGTGGACAAACGAGTGCGGCCTGGAACAGCGCGGGCAGCGAAGCTTTTGTAGCTGGCCGCTGTCTCTGGACACATAGCTTTACTGCATGTACGATCCCTGCCCATCTTTCTTTCCGTTTCCTTTCTGCTGCCGCCGCACTCCTTTGGTTCGTGCTCGCTGCGGCGAAGCGAGTGCGGCCTCCAAGCGCGCTGGACGCGAAGCTGTTCTTGCTGGTTGCGCCCTGGGGACCGCTAGCTTTCTACTTTCTATATAGGATTCAAAAGTGACGTTAGGCACCCGGCCGCGGCGCAGCAGCCGGTCTTGGCAAGACGCACAGCAAACCCAAAGGGATGAAAGACCAGGGAGAGGCAAACTGTGACAGACGCAGGCGCACATGGGCATGGACAGGCCGGGGATTGAACCCGGCCCCTCTCGCATGCTGTGCGGGTGTGATGCCACTACACCAACTGCCCCTGAGCTGAGCAGGCCGAGAGTGCTCAACTACCTGCTGCGCACAGCTTTCAGCGCTGAGGCTCTGTCACGGCCAACCCGTTCGCAGCCTGCTCCGGCCGGGCGCCTAACGTCACTTTTGAATCCTATATAGAAAGTAGCTGGGTCCAGGCCGCACTCGTTTGTCCACAGCGAGCACCAACCAAAAGGAGTGCGCCGGCATCAGAAAGAAAGAAAAGAGGCCGAACGGCGGGCCCGCACTCGTTTGCCCACAGCGAGCACCAACCAAAAGGAGTGCGCCGGCAGCAGAAAGCAAGAAAAGAGGCCGAACAGCGCGGAAAGCTGTGCCCAGCAGGTAATTGAGCACTCTCGGCCTCATCAGCTCAGGAGCAGTTGGTGTAGTGGCATCACACCCGCTCAGCATGCGAGAGGGGCCGGGTTCAATCCCCAGCCGGTCCATGCCCATGTGCGCCTGCGTTGGTCTGTCTCGCTTTTGGGTTTGCTGCTCGCTGCGGCGAAGCGAGTGCGGCCTCTCAGCGCGCTGGACGCGAAGCTGTTCTTGCTGGTTGCGCCCTGGGAACCGCTAGCTTTCTCCTTTGGTTCGTGCGGTGCCAGACGCAGGCGCACATGGGCATGGACAGGCCGGGGATTGAACCTGACCCCTCTCGCGTGCTGAGCGGGTGTGATGCCACTACACCAACTGCCCCTGAGCTGAGGAGGCCGAGCGTGCTCAACTACCTGCTCGGCACAGCTTTTCGCGCTGAAGACCCGCCCGTTCGGCCTTTTTTCTTCCTATCGGCTGCCGGCGCACTCCTTTGGTTGGCGCTCGCTGTGGGCAAACGAGTGCGGCCTGGAAAAGCGCTCCAGCACCTGCAGGGCACAGTTTTCAGCGCTGAAGCTCTGTCACGGCCCGCCCGTCCGGCCTTTTTTCTTCCTTTCTGCTTTTCTGCTGCCGGCGCACTCCTTTGGTTACTTTCCTTTTCCTTTCTGCTGCCGGCGCACTCCTTTGGTTGGCGCTCGCTGTGGACAAACGAGTGCGGCCCGGAAAAGCGCGGGAAGCGAAGCTTTTGTGGCTGGCCGCTCCCTCTGGACCAATAGCCTTACTGCATATTGGACTCAACCGCGACGTTAGGCACCCGGCCGCGGCGGAGCAGGCTGCCGGCGCACTCCTTTCGCTGCGGCGAAGCGAGTGCGGCCTCCAAGCGCGCTGGACGCGAAGCTGTTCTTGCTGCTTGCGCCCTGGGGACCGATAGCTTTCTACCTTCTATATAGGATTCTACAGTGACGTTCGGCACCCGGCCGCGGTGGAAACAGCCGCCCTTGGCAAGACGCACAGCAAACCTAAAGGGAAGAAGACCAGGGATCGGCAGACTGTCCCAGACGCAGGCGCACATGGGCATGGACAGGCCGGGGATTGAGCCCGCCCTCTCGCATGCTGAGCGGGTGTGATGCCACTACACCAACTACCCCTGAGCTGAGAAGGCCGAGAGTGCTCAAACACCTGCTGGCCACAGCTTTCAGCGCTGAAGCTCTGTCACGGCCAGCCCGTTCGGCCTGTTTTCGCACTCCTTTTGTTGGTGCTCGCTGTGGGGGGCAAACGAGTGCGGCCTGGAACAGCGCTCAAGCACCTGCAGGGCACAGTTTTCAGCGCTGAAGCTCTGTCGCGGCCCGCCCGTACGGCCTTTTTTCTTCCTTTCTCCTTTTCTGCTGCCGGCGCACTCCTTTGGTTTCTTTCCTTTTCCTTTCTGCTGCCGGCGCACTCCTTTGGTTGGCGCTCGCTGTGGACAAACGAGTGCGGCCTGGAAAAGCGCGGGAAGCGAAGCTTTTGTGGCTGGCTGCTCCCTCTGCACCGATAGCTTTGCTGCATGTTGGACTCAAATGCGACGTTAGGCACTCGGCCGCGGCGGAGCAGGCTGCCGGCGCACTCCTTTGGTTCGTGCTCGCTGCAGCGAAGCGAGTGCGGCCTCCAAGCGCGCTGGACGCGAAGCTGTTCTTGCTGGTTGCGCCCTGGGGACCGATCTGTCTACTTTCTATATAGCACTCCTTTGGTTGGTGCTCGCTGTGGGCAAACGAGTGCGGCCTGGAAAAGCGCTGAAAACAAGCAAACAAGCAAGCAAGCGAGCAAGCAAGCAAGCCAGCAAGCCTGAACCAGCCAAAAGCCGCTGACAGAACAAAAAAAAACTGGGCTGGCCCCCAGCGGAGGGGTCGGCGGCACTGGGCGGCAGCCCTTAAATTAAGTAGACTAGACTCCACCAATAAGTGCACCGGAACCCGTCTGATATGCTGATAGAACTCATCACTGCTTTCAACCGAGTTGACCTAAAAGGACATCTATGCGCTCTGGGTCTACTGGTCAAACCATCCACAAACCGCCTGAAGCATTAGTAACTGTGTTTGTCAACGATCTTTGAGGAGAATCGCCTGAGCCAAAGAGTCATGGGATAATGTGGAATGGCATTAAACTTGGGTTGCCTGTCTCATGAACAATTTTCCAACAAGGGGCCGCGCGCTCCAGCAAAACAGCACGGCACAATCAGCAGAATGATGGTTGATTCAACGCGGGCATTTCTAAGTTGCACCTATTGCCTTGTGATTGCTTCCTCTCGGCTGAGGTCAGCGAATCAAAATGGGAACTCAGGCACGTGCAAACGCAAGCCCGGTGAACAAGCCAGAAGAGCCGCGCAAGCCAAACAAGCTTGCACAGGCCAAAGCCAAATCATTGACCGCGCAACTCCGAGGGGACGAGCGAAAGAGATAGTAGGTAATCATAACATAGCAAGACGAGTGTAAACTCAGCTTCTACGCAGGCTAGTGGGCTTCCTGCTCAATTGACAGCTGTAATATGCCAACTACAAACCAAAACCAGCTCAAACGATTCGTCCAACACAACTACCTTCATACTCCACGATGAATCCATAAAGTGGGGTTTAAATCATGGTTGAAACAGACGCAAAAACCAGATAACTCCACTTGCAAAATCCTGCGGAAGTAGTATGTTTAGAGGCGCCGAACGACTACTTTGATTGACTGGGGGTTAAAGGTGCGTGGGCTTAGCAAGAGTTTACCGCGGGCGCGGGGGGAAACACAACCTGAATCGAAAGTGTCCAAGTTAATTAAGTGAAATATGTGCCCGGTGTGTGGGCGATACGGGTGAGGGAGAATCCTCTTGAGCGTTGGCACAAAATGTGTGAAAGCTGCAGAGAGCATGATGGTCCGCCGAGAAACCGCGCTACGAGTACTTTTCGCGCATCTTCAACAGTGTGGCAAAACACAACATTTTACAACGGCCTGCCGTTGGCAGTGGATGTGTCGCAAGTCGCGGGTGGCTGGAGTATGAGGGAAAGAAATTAAAACAAATTACCCCGCAACAAATGCGAAGCTTGTAAAATACATGAACAAGATTCTTGCTCCAGAAGATGGGACGATTGGGCGGGAACCCAGGTTTTAGATTCCATTGCTCAGGCCGATGTTTCACCCTAAGAATCACAGAAACCACGGAGCTCCTTTTCTGCAAATCACCAAGCCCTGTTTTCCGCCGGTCGTTCTCGGAACAGAAAGAGCGGTCAAGCGGCTCAGCCTTTGGCCTGGACACCCCCCGGTCGGTGCCCAGGCGCTGACACGGAGTGGCACTCAAAGCTGGAGGTCTGGCCCAAAGCGCACTTGGCCAGCGAGAAGAACAACTCGCCCATGTCTGGCCGAGAGTTGGGACGCCACAAACATTACAGCACTTTAGGGGCCTCTAGAGAAAGCTTTAAGTTGCCAACTCCATTGAGAAATAAGTGAAGACAGCATCAGGGCTCCAGGGATGAGCCAAAAGAGAAAGACAATAACCCTTGCTGGGAAAACGCACCCGCAAATATGAAGGCTGATTGGCAAGGGACGCTGTTGGACATCTATTTAGCTTTTGTTGTGTAGGTTGCTCATTTCCAGGCGCAGCCATTCATTTTCTGATTAGCGTTAAACGTGATGAAAAGCTGGCGTTTGCAGCATTTCTTTCTCTGCATGTTCAACATCATAAGCGGGTTCTGCTTTCGAGATGTCCATCGCAAGCCAGTGCAATAAACCATGCCCCGCGCCAAAAACAAAGCAACTCATGTGTCTACAGCGGCTTTGAGAGAAGGTTATCTAGGGGTACATCTTGTCAGCTTGTCCTCAAAATCGTCTCTCTGAATCAATGACCTCCAATCATAACCATAATTAATTTTCCTAAAAAGAGAGGGGTGGGGAAAGGGCCATGGAAAGTGGAGGAAAACATGCAATTCAGAGGTGTGCTTCAAACGGTGGTCTTGACTGCAAGGTTTTGCCGAGCACTTGCACCCTGAGGCTTCGCTTGATGGGTTGCGGGCTCTATCTTCGACACTGATTTACGCGACTTCTGGGCCATCTTGCCCAGCCTGCTTTCTTCATTTTACTTGGAGCGCGGCGACCTCGAAGGGTTGCTCTGTGTGGTGAGAGGCAGCGCCCCGGCCGCATCTGGGCTGAAGACCCCCCCTTTTCTGGAAAGTAGTTGCTGGCCGGGAGGTCTCCATTCCCCCGTCAGTTTTGGAGGCCTGTAAAGCCTTGCGACCCCGTAGCGGAATTTGTACTCGTCCCGAAAGCCCCTTGTGTCTCTGGCTGCCGCTTTTTTTTCAGGCGCCTGGTTAGCCTCAGCCTCGTCCCCAGAACAAAGGCGGCCCCTCACAAGGTCTTATGCTCATCCGCTAGGGGCTGCGGATTGTGTGGAGTTGCTCTGTGAACCCGCGGAGGTTGGCTGTGGCTCGACGGTTGAAACTGTCGATGGGGCGCCTGCTGTTCTGAATCTTCGGACGCGGGCGCGCAGTTGCGCCAAGAGTGTCAGCCGTAGCGCTTCGCTGAGAGCGTGGCTGGGCCCTGCGGCGCTGTACCGGCTGCACTTGGGAACTGTGCGAGACACAGCTGTGCCGTGCAAGGCCGGCCACAGCCCTTAGATGCGGACCTGGGCAGGAGTGTGTTGCGCCAGGCAGTGGCGGGCCGTGAGTTGCCTCTGGCAGCGCTGTGCTTGGTGGATCTAGCCCTGTCGGGCTGTGTGGTTCTGCTTTGTCGGTTTTCCCCGGTCCCACTTTCTTGGTTTGTGGTGTTACTTCCTTGATTGAGTGGGCTGCTGGCCTGATTTCCTGGTGGAGCAAGGGACTGTCGAACTCTTCGGACACCAATCCATTCTTACAGGCCTGAAACCCGGTGCGAAAATTGAGATTAAACAATCATTGGGCGTACGTCGACCTTGATAATGATGCCAAAGTGGAACGCCACGGTTTATTTACCTTCAAACATGTTCAGCTCTCGCGTCCAAAAAAAAGTTCTCCAAAAGCCCCCTACATCTAAAAACCTCAAAAGCAGACCTTGCTGGGCTGTCTCAAACGGTAACCCCCAGTAAGCCTTAAAAAGCCACAAAGCTAAGGGGATGGCTGCCACAAAATCTGAAAAACGCGAAACAATATCCAAGAAATGTCCCCCCGCAAAACAGCTCTCCGCCACGAGGTGCACACTCAGACCCTCCTGGAAGACCGCACTCCGCCAGCTTGGCAGCGGCCCAGACCGATTGCGTCAAGTCAACGCCCGACAGTTCCCGGCCTTCGGAATGAGAAACTCTCCGGGCATGTTCACGCTATTTGTTTGGGTTTCCGCTAAAAAGATTGATTCGCATCTGGCACGGGCTTGGTAAATTTGACTGAAATCTGCTGAGTACCGTGTCTCCAAAACGGGACAGGCAAGAGTTCTTTTGGATTTCCCCAAGGTGAATGCTCTTGGTTCGGGATGCGTGGCCGGATTTTGATTGAAACTATTGAAGCCGATGAGTGGCTGCTCATAAAACAAGTTGTTAGAGAATGACCAACTTTAATTAATATGAAAAACGATCCTGGGTTTCCAACACCACTCATGTTTGATTGTAGGCGGGGGGGCGCAAGCCACCATAGTTGTCAAGCACCCGCAGGTGCAAGGTCAGGTTGAAAGAATGTCAAAGTGGGTCTGGTCCCAGGAAAAGTTCGGCGGAAGGAGCCACCAAGGAAGACGGTTCTGCTCGGAGTGTTTGGATTAAACATGTCTCCTGTAAGCGACACCCCGCCAAACGCAAACTGGCAACTGACAGGTGGCTAAAAAGGTAACCCCAATAGAAATTTCAATTCCGCTGCGGACGATCAGCCAAGAGTCTGTCTGCAAGGATCCGCAACCTCTGCGACAGGTAAGCCGGAAAGTGTCCTTGTCCCAAGTACCTTGGCAGCAAAAGCCCGACGACATGGAAGGACTTGTGGACGCAAACTTGCAGGAGTGGCCCGTAACACCCCTGCTGACACCATACATAACAATCGCAATTAAAGTGATGGAATATTGAACACCCCTGCTGACACTTGAATGGTGAAGCCGAGTGATGGAATATTGAACACTCGCAATTAATCACACCTATGCCAAGCAACTGATCCGAATCCCGCAAACCCACACATGCAATTGCTCGAGCTTCTGCTGGATCCATTCTGGCAAAAGGATACAATGCTCAATGAAAATGTTGCGGCGCTACACTACAACCACTACGTGTACGAAGTCTATGCATATTTCAGTATATGTACGTGCGAGGTACCTCCTTGACACATTTGCCGGAATTCCCCCTCCCGCTTCAAGTAAGCCGCACTGTCAATTTTTCTGCGTCGCTTTGACAGCTTTTACAAGGAAGCCTTCAAAGGAGCACTTTCTAAGGAAATCTTGAGAAGATGCCTTTTTTCACAAAGCCATTGCAAGGCCTTATGAGGACGTCTTTATAAGAACCCTTCCAAGTTGTCGTTACAAAGGGGCCCTGCGGAAGGAAGCCTTTAGAAGAAGCCTTTTAAAAGAAGTCTCAAGCCTTTTATAAAGATAACTTTTATGTTGTTGTTGCTGCTCGTATTTGTTGTCGCTGCGCTACACGCGCCCGCCTCCGCGCCGATCAGCCCGTGTGCCGCACATGTGCTATTCCTGCCTCTGCGCCGAAAAGTTTTTCGGGGGCGCATGCCCAGCATCATCAGTCGCACCGCAGCATCATAAAGGGAAGCTTGAGCCAAAGTCCCAATGGGGACGGCTCAAGAATGAGTCAAGTTCATTTCATATATAATCAAACAATCAACCAACCGATAAATCTCAAGCCAAATCATTGCATACATTGAAAGTCACAGTATATACAAAATTCAAAACGCTCACTGTCTAGGATCGGACGAGGCGCCCCCTTTGCAAAAGCTATATGGGTTGAAAAAAAACCCCGTGGACAACCCTTGTATCCTTATGCCTCAGTATCGGTCAGTATCGGTTTTTTTCCTCTGCATCGGTTTGCGGTGTTTTGGCAGCTCTGGCTCGAAAGTCGCGACTTTTCCGTACAAGTGTAGTAGGCGAAGTACACTCTGCCAGCTCCCAGCCCCAGCTGGAAATCGCAACTTTCAGTACAAGTGTAGTGCACAAAGTACATTTTGGCAGCTCCAGCTGGAAAGTAGCAACTTTTCAGTAGTATGCGCAGGACACTTTGGCAGCTCCGGCTCGAAAGTCGCAGCTTTTCAGTGCAAGCAAGTGTAGTATGGTGTAGTATACGAAGTACACTTTGGCAGCTCCACAGCGGCAGTCGCAACTTTTCAGTACAAATGTAGTACACAAAGTACATGTTGGCAGCTCCAGAGAAGGCTGCAGGGCAGCTGGTTGGATTCGGCATGGCGGCCAATGAGTTGGGTATCGGTTGGGTATCGGTTTGGGTATCGGTTTGGGCCCTGCAAATTTATGATTCCGCAATCTTGGTTTGCGACAACAACTAGGACCTGATGTGTGTCTTCATGGCTTCTGGGGGTATCGGTTTTTTTTCGTCTGTATCGGTTTGCAATGGTTTTGGCCTGCGAAACAAGTTAAGGGACGGCCCCTTACATAACGAAAAGGCGCGGGGTATTTTTTTCAGCCCATATGAGTCGGGGGAGTAGCTCCGTGGTAATCACGCCAGGGCACAAATCACGCCCAGGCCCAAAGAAGAAACGGCTTTCGCTCTTCCCCCGGTTCAAAGCCGCCAGAACTCAGGGCGTGCATTCAAAAAGAATAGTGTCTGCAACCCCGGTATCATACGAGGTGTTCATGAAGTGCATTAAAGCAAAAGGGGGCATGTCAAGGGGGGTCTTATTGGGATCCACCAGAGGCCCCTTTGAGGGCTGGCTGGGAACAAACTGATCAAGACACACTGAGATCAAATTGGTTCTCCACTGCCATGATGCTTATAATGATGCAGCAAAACCAGAACTTCAATTGAGCACTCAAATCTAAGGCATGTCAGACACATGCTCTCATGAGTATCACGCGGCACAAAAAGGGCAGAGTCGTACCTTTAACATGGATCACGCTAGTATCTCTCACGGGGACGACACTGTAGCCGTCTCGCAGAATGGCGCGCGCGCGCCCGAAATCACCGACCTGCCCAAGTCACGGCCCGTTTATTCGAGCGGCGCCCCAAGAGCAAGGTCAAAAGAGCAGCCGGGGCTGCCTCAAAGTGCCAAGTCAACATGGCGTCACGGCACACCGGACATCATGCACATGTTGCATTGCTCACAAAACTGCAACAGTGACCGATCTTCGTCGGCATCCATGGGCCTCATGTCGCAAGAGGCTCGCCTACCGTTTTTCAGTTGGGTCTCACTCGCTTTCAGGCGAACATTCCCTGAAACGCGCTCGCGCGCATCAAAGTCCGGGACCGGGCGGTCAGCACGCCCGCTCAAGTCGCTGCGTGGCAGTTGGAGATTGTCATCCAACAGGGCCGAAATATCCTCGACATCTGACGCAGCTGACTCGTTGTCAGGCTCAAGGTTCACTTCTTCTGTCCAGGACATACGCCCTGGCGGGTTGCCAGGACTACCTTGTACAGCTTGGTCATCGCTGCAGCAAGAGCGTCCCGGCTGTAGACCAGTGACATTCCAGAGCCCAGAGCCTTCCGGAATGTGGTGGCCTCAAATTAGCCTTTCCTTGGCAACCCAAGACAGACATGTGCATTTCATCGAGTGTGTAGAATATGCCATGGCTCCTGTAGCATACACAGCACATCTTTAAGCCAATGCAAGCCCTCAGCCGAGCTCATAGGCCGCCGAAGCCAGCTGCCTTCCTCACTCATGGCCGGCATCCCACATTCATAGCACAAGTGCTCTTCAGCACGGAGCCCGGAATGCGCAGCGCGAAGGCTCTTGAGCGCGGAGGCAGGCGTGTGTGGCGCAAAGACGCACAAAGGCTCTTTAGCGCAGAGGCGGGCGCGTGTAGCACGAAGCCTTCGGCGCAGAGGCTGGAATAGTACATGTGCGGCGCAAAGGCTCTTCGGTGCAGAGGCTGGAATAGCACATGCGCGGCACGAAGGCTCTTCGGCGCGGGGACGGGCGCGTGTACCACAAAGACTCTTCGGCGCAGAGGCTGGAATAGCACATGTGCAGCGAGAAGGCTCCTCGGCGCCGAGGTGGGCGCGTGTAGTACAAAGACTTTCGGCGCAGAGGCTGGAATAGTACATGCTCTTCTGCGCGGAGGCGGGCGCGTATAGCACAAAGACTCTTCGGCGCAGAGGCTGGAATAGCGCATGTGCGTACATGTGCGGCACAAAGGCTCTTCGGCGCGGAGGCGGGCACGTGTAGCACAAAGACTCTTCGGCGCATAGGCTGGAATAGCACATGTGCGGCACAAAGGCTCTTCGGCGCGGAGGCGGGCGCGGAGGCGGGCGCGGAGGCGCGGAGGCGGGTTTTGTTTACGAATCCCGCTGTTTCTTTGGGGGCGGCGAAGCCTGCGTAACGCACATGCACAGCGACACGTAAACGCACCTTGATCAAACATTTCAACTTTACCAACCTGACTTGCGTGTTGGTTGTGATGCTTGAAGTTGGACTGATTCGATGTAACACCCGCTGTTCCTCTCGAGACGGGTGGGAGGGAGGTGGCGCCATGATTTTGTGGTGCCACATTTGATTTTCAATCTTTGCCTTCGCCGAGCTGGTGCCCGTGCGGCGCAGGCTTGGAGACGCCTGCGGGCGCAGTGCTTCTGCGTGAGGCGCTGGCAGCGCTAGTTTCACTGCCTGGGCCAACGTTTGGCCCAACATTACTCCAGGAATTCTTGGATCGGTTGAGCAGGTCGCTGCGCAACTAGCGTGCTGTGTTGCGGGGGACACTTGGAGCACGAGGTCATGAGCATGGAGTTGCAGCGTGGTATATCAGGTTTGCCTCTTGAAGAAACTGGCTCACTTCATAACTCCGACAGTTCGTTTGAGCGCTGTGATGTTTTTCGTGATGGCTTGTTGCAACAGCAACATGGAACTGAGTCGAATTTTGTGCGTCATGATGCGGGCATGCATGATCCTGATTTTCATGATGGCTGTCACGAAGACGAGACGCCGACAACAAACATGATTTCGCTCATGACTTTGAACCTGTTCGGAAAAGCAGACGCGTTGGCAATGCTGCCCCAACCACACTGCGTCAGCCGGAAACAGGGACAACTTCGCAAACAAACATCTGCGACATGGCGTTGAGAACCGCATGGAGTTTTGAAAACAAGAGGGTGATGCCCTGGAATAAGGGACGTCCACTTGCTCCGACGGAGGCAGACCCCTACAGGTATCTCTGCTCTCTAAGGGGTCAGGGTGCGGCGGCCACGGCAGGAGGTTCATTCCTCAAGTCATGGAATTTCATGCGCGTCACCGTGGGACTTGTGTCGCATGGGCAGAGTGATGCTGTTTCCGGCAGAGTGAAAGGCGTGGTGCGTGATATGTTTTTGCACAAGCGCAAGCTGAAACAGGTGCTCCCAGCTGACTATGTCTGGAAAATGGAGGAGTTTGTTCAGACCTCAGACGACGATGTGATGAAGACGGTCGTCGGGTTTATGCTCTTCTGCATTTACTCCTGTGCCAGATTTTCAGATGCAGCAGCAGCCCGAGGGTTCGCCCTAGACTCTGCCGAACATGTGACACTAGTGGACACATCAGCTGAGACGTACAAGACGGCGATCTCCAAGGAGAAGCGAACCACCCTTCTGCCGCTGGTAGCGTTTGGCTCCGGGCTTGACATAAGACCGTGGGCACTGTTCTGGAACCAGGCGAGGTCTGCGACAGGGGCCAACGAGGTGGACCTTCTGAGAAGCCCTCGCGCTACACGTGGTCAGTTTCACGTTTGCAGGTCCAGGAGCGCGACGCCTGGCACTTCGGCCCACGGCTGACAGCAACAAGTTTTCACTTGCCTTGCTGTGACAAGGCAA